AGTTTCTTCCTGTTTAATAAACGTCAGACATTCAGGAGCAACATAAAGTCTTAATCTGTGTGAAAAGTGACGAGGAAGAAGCCATGGTGTTCCTTTACTCTTTATTTATTGTCTGATTATATCACCAGATGTGTACAGCAATTAATTTAAAGAAATGTTGGCCTGTAATTTAAACTCTGTGTGCGTGCGTGTGTCTGTGCGTGCGTCTGTGCGTGCGTGTGTGTGTCTGTGCGTTGTGTCTGTGCGTGCGTGCGTCTGTGCGTGCGTGCGTGTGTCTGTGCGTGCGTGTGTGTCTGTGCGTGCGTGCGGTCTGTGCGTGCGTCTGTGCGTGCGTGCGTGTGTGTGTCTGTGCGTGCGTGTGTGCGTGTGTATGTCTGTGCGTGCGTGGTGTGTGTGTATGTCTGTGCGTGCGTGTGTGTGTGTGTATGTCTGTGCGTGCGTGTGTGCGTGTGTATGTCTGTGCGTGCGTGTGTGCGTGTGTATGTCTGTGCGTGCGTGTGTGTGTGTATGTCTGTGTGTGTATGTCTGTGCGTGTGTGTGTGTGTCGTGCGTGTGTGTCTGTGCGTGCGTGCGTCTGTGTGTGTGTCTGTGCGTGCGTGCGTGCGTCTGTGTGTGTGTCTGTGCGTGCGTGCGTCTGTGCGTGTGTCTGTGCGTGCGTGCGTCTGTGCGTGTGCGTGCGTGCGTGTGTCTGTGCGTGCGTGTGTGTCTGTGCGTGCGTGCGTGTCTGTGCGTGTGTGTCTGTGTGCGTGCGTCTGTGTGTCTGTGCGTGCGTCTGTGTGTCTGTGTGTGCGTCTGTGCGTGCGTGCCTGTGTGTATGTCTGTGCGTGCGTGTCTGTGCGTGCGTGCGTGTGTGTCTGTGCGTGCGTGCGTCTGTGTGTCTGTGCGTGCGTCTGTGCGTGCGTGCGTGTGTGTCTGTGCGTGCGTGCGTCTGTGTGTCTGTGCGTGCGTCTGTGCGTGCGTGCGTGTGTGTATGTCTGTGCGTGCGTGTGTGCGTGCGTGCGTGCGTGTGTGTCTGTGCGTGCGTCTGTGTGTCTGTGCGTGCGTCTGTGCGTGCGTGCGTGTGTGTGTCTGTGCGTGCGTCTGTGCGTGCGTGCGTGTCTGTGCGTGCGTGCGTCTGTGTGTCTGTGCATGCGTGCGTCTGTGTGTCTGTGCGTGCGTCTGTGTGTCTGTGCGTGCGTCTGTGTGTCTGTGCGTGCGTGCGTGCGTCTGTGTGTGTGTCTGTGCGTGCGTGCGTGTGTCGTGCGTGCGTGCGTCTGTGCGTGTGTGCGTGCGTGCGTGTGTCTGTGCGTGTGCGTGTCTGTGCGTGCGTGCGTGTCTGTGCGTGTGTGTCTGTGCGTGCGTGCGTCTGTGTGTCTGTGCGTGCGTCTGTGTGTCTGTGTGTGCGTGTCTGTGCGTGCGTGCGTCTGTGTGTCTGTGCGTGCGTCTGTGTGTCTGTGTGTGCGTCTGTGCGTGCGTGCGTGTGTGTATGTCTGTGCGTGCGTGTCTGTGCGTGCGTGTCTGTGCGTGCGTGTGTGTATGTCTGTGTGTATGTCTGTGCGTGTGTGTGTGTGTCTGTGCGTGTGTCTGTGCGTGCGTGCGTCTGTGTGTCTGTGCGTGCGTCTGTGCGTGCGTGCGTGCGTCTGTGCGTGCGTGCGTGTCTGTGCGTGCGTGCGTGTCTGTGCGTGTGTGTCTGTGCGTGCGTGCGTCTGTGTGTCTGTGCGTGCGTCTGTGTGTCTGTGTGTGCGTCTGTGCGTGCGTGCGTGTGTGTATGTCTGTGCGTGCGTGTCTGTGCGTGCGTGTCTGTGCGTGTGTGTGTGTGTCTGTGCGTGTGTCTGTGCGTGCGTGCGTCTGTGCGTGTGTGTGTGTCTGTGCGTGTGTCTGTGCGTGCGTCTGTGCGTGCGTGCGTGCGTCTGTGCGTGCGTGCGTCTGTGTGTCTGTGCGTGCGTCTGTGCGTGCGTGCCTGTGTGTCTGTGCGTGCGTCTGTGTGTCTGTGCGTGCGTCTGTGTGTCTGTGCGTGCGTCTGTGCGTGCGTGCGTGCGTCTGTGTGTGTGTCTGTGCGTGCGTGCGTCTGTGTGTCTGTGCATGCGTGCGTCTGTGTGTCTGTGCGTGCGTCTGTGTGTCTGTGCGTGCGTGCGTGCGTCTGTGCGTGCGTGCGTCTGTGCGTGCGTGCGTGTGTGTCTGTGCGTGCGTGCGTGTGTGTCTGTGTGTGCGTGCGTCTGTGTGTCTGTGCGTGCGTCTGTGTGTCTGTGTGTGCGTCTGTGCGTGCGTGCGTGTGTGTGTCTGTGCGTGCGTGTCTGTGCGTGCGTGTGTGTATGTCTGTGTGTATGTCTGTGCGTGTGTGTGTGTGTCTGTGCGTGTGTCTGTGCGTGCGTGCGTCTGTGTGTCTGTGCGTGCGTCTGTGCGTGCGTGCGTGTGTGTCTGTGCGTGGTCGTGCGTGCGTGCGTGTGTCTGTGCGTGTGTCTTGCGTCTGTGCGTGCGTGGTGTCTGTGCGTGCGTGCGTCTGTGCGTGCGTGCGTCTGTGTGTCTGTGCGTCTGTGCGTGCGTGCGTGTGTGTCTGTGCGTGCGTCTGTGCGTGCGTGCGTGTGTGTCTGTGCGTGCGTGCGTCTGTGCGTGCGTGCGTCTGTGTGTCTGTGCGTGCGTCTGTGTGTCTGTGCGTGCATCTGTGCGTGCGTGCGTGTCTGTGCGTGCGTCTGTGTGTCTGTGCGTGCGTGCGTGTGTGTATGTCTGTGCGTGCGTGTGTGTATGTCTGTGTGTGTATGTCTGTGCGTGCGTGTGTATGTCTGTGCGTGCGTCTGTGCGTGCGTGCGTGTGTGTCTGTGCGTGCGTGCGTCTGTGTGTCTGTGCGTGCGTCTGTGCGTGCGTGCGTGTGTGTATGTCTGTGCGTGCGTGTCTGTGCGTGCGTGCGTGTGTGTCTGTGCGTGCGTCTGTGTGTCTGTGCGTGCGTCTGTGCGTGCGTGTATGTCTGTGCGTGCGTGTCTGTGCGTGCGTGCGTCTGTGTGTCTGTGCGTGCGTCTGTGTGTCTGTGCGTGCGTCTGTGTGTCTGTGCGTGCGTGCGTCTGTGTGTCTGTGCGTGTGTGTCTGTGCGTGCGTGCGTCTGTGTGTCTGTGCGTGCGTCTGTGCGTGCGTGCGTCTGTGTGTCTGTGCGTGCGTGCGTCTGTGTGTCTGTGCGTGCGTGTGTGCGTGTATGTCTGTGCGTGCGTGTGTGCGTGTGTATGTCTGTGCGTGCGTGTGTGTGCGTGTGTCTGTGTGTCTGTGCGTGCGTGTATGTCTGTGCGTGCGTCTGTATGTGTGTGTATGTCTGTGCGTGCGTCTGTATGTCTGTGCGTGCGCGTGTGTATGTCTGTGCGTGCGCGTGTGTATGTCTGTGCGTGCGTGCGTGTGTCTGTGCGTGCGTGTGCGTGCGTGTCTGTGCGTGCGTGTGTCTGTGCGTGCGTGTGTGTGTCTGTGCGTGTGTGTATGTCTGTGCATGTCTGTGTGTGCGTGTCTGTGCGTGCGTCTGTGCATGTCTGTGCGTGTGTGTATGTCTGTGCATGTCTGTGTGTGTGCGTGCGTGCGTGCGTCTGTGTGTCTGTGCGTGCGTGTCTGTCTCGTGCTGAGGTATAAAGAGCAGCTGTGCTTTTTAACGGCTGTAATATTTTCATAGTGATTCGTGTGTGAGCGTCAGCCTACAACTGAACGATGATCCTTTGTGTTTTGTTCTGATGGAAGCTGAAAGAGAAACCTAATTTTTCTCCATAACTGAAGTTTTACTACATGTGTGCAAGTTATTGTCTGTTTGACTTGATTGATTTGATGCAGTTACTGTAAAGGAGAATGAGTCAAATAAAAAATCAATACCTAATCGTTTTGTGAAGATTGATTGTTCATAACCAGCAAATCTGACTGAAGACTGCTGGCTCTTAAATCCGTTTAGGCTCGTATATATTGACACATTGGTACCACTTTTGTTTTTCCTGTAATACTTATGTGATCAATAGAGGCTGCGAGAGAAAAATGATGTCCAGCTCATGAATTTGCACAGTACTGTAATTATAGAAAAACAAGAAAATACTGTACATGCAGACCGTCCTGTACATTCGCCTCACAGTTAAAGTGTTGGTCACTCTGGGACTTTTCCCTAAAATACCTTCATCAAAATCTTTATGGCCTCATGCTCACTAAGGCCGGCGTTTTTTCCTTTCTTAGATTCAATTAAAGTCAATTTTATTTATATAGCACCAACAACAGTCGCCGCAAGGCGCTTTATATTGTGAGGTCGACCCTACAATAATACATACAGAGCAAACCCAACAATCATATGCCCCTATGAGCAGCACTTTGGCAACAGTGGGAAGGAAAACTCCCTTTTAACAGGAAGAAACCTCCGGCAGAACCAGGCTCAGGGGGGCGGGGCCATCTGCTGTGATTGGTTGGGGTGAGAGAAGGAAGACAAACTGGAAGCTGGTTCCACAGAAGAGGGGCCTGAAAACTGAAGGCTCTGCCTCCTGTAACACTGATGTAGCGCTAATGAATTAATACAGGCTAGGGATTGAGTGTAATTTTATGGTTATTATTAATCAGAAGATTTAGGGACACCACTGGAGCTGATGGGCAGTAATTAATAAATACACACAACACAAAAATGGTTTTGCAGGTACCATGTATTTAACCAAACCCCAAAAAGAATAACAAGAAAAGAAAAACTTAAATAATCACTCCTGCTGCAGCTATCCAATTAATCAAAAACCCAGTGAGGGTACACAAAGACAACTAAACAGATTTGTCTGGCTTATACCAAGCAACACAGGTTCTCAAAAAAAAACAGTTCCCCATAACACCACATGTTAATATCAAATCCACTGATCCACACTGAAGTCCATGAGTTTAATCTGAATGTCCATGAGAGATGTCCAAGCGCTATTGTCCATAAATGAAGGGAATGGTGTGTATGATTGCGGAAATCAGTGTATTTGGAAAATGGGACAGAGCGTTGTCTTTGATAGCTTCCTACCCGGTGGAAGCGTCAATTGCAGAATGTGTCCTGCTCCTAGCCGTTCATTGGCTCGCCATCCTCTTTCATACCCTAACAAGGTTCACCTGGCCTGCATTAAATAAACAAGGCCAATAAGAAATCACAAGAATAATACAAAAATGTCAGCCAATTAAGCTAAATACATTAAGTTATTCTTGTTCCTGTGTACACAATTTATAAATAAATAAACAAACAATATATTGGTTAAATATAATATTCCTAACCAATAAGGATTTAACTGAAAACATTTCAACTGCTACATAGAATAGAATAGAATTCAACTTTATTGTCATTGCACATGCACAGGTACAGGGCAACGAAATGCAGTTTGCATCCATCCAGAAGTGCTTTAGTGATATAGATATATTACAATATATATTAGCAATAATATAGATGTGTGAGTATATTACCGAAATGGGTCTATTATGGTATGTTATAATGTACACGGTATGAAGTATGTTGTGAATATTCTATAACTATAAGTATGTACAGGCTGTAGTGAGTACACGCTATGAACAGGATATAAATATGAAAAACTATACAGAATATAAATAACTTTACAGAATCTGGGATATACAGCTATACAGAAATGGGAACTATGTAAGTTGTAAACAGTTGTAGGATTAAAGATTATCGAATGTACAGAATGATTATTACACATACATACATACATACTATGTAGCTCCACAACATTTGTTATTCAACAACTATCAGTCAAATCAAAATCAAATTGTTTGGACCGGCAGCAGCCGATTAGGGTCAGCTGGTAGCAATACAAACAGTCAATTAAAAGTTCAAACTCACCAATTCCGTTCTGTTCAGTGCACAACAACACTATGGCTCTGGCTCACAGTAATCAGCACCTAAGTTGCAGTTAGTTGGTGTTAAAAAAATGCATTAAAACGGAAAAGCAAATGTTTGCCAATACACACCTGCAACAGCTCTGTCACCTGGCTTGCCTCCACGGATCTGACGGGAGGAAGCCGGGACAGGCTTACTATGACCTACATGCCATCCGATTGGCTGAGCAAAGTCATGTGGTTGGAGTCATGCATTGTGATGCGTTCAATGGCAGGAAATAAGTGCAGGAAATTACTCTGGTTACACTCCCATTCTACTTTTAAGATAAGATAAGATAGAACTTTATTAATCCCTCGGTGGGTTCCTCTGGGAAATTAGGTTTCCAAAGCACGCACCGACAGAAGTTACAGAATGTTATGTATATATTATATATATATATATATATATATAATTTGGGTACACAAAATTCACGGTTCGGTTCGGTTCGATACTTTGGTGTCACGGTTCGATATTTTTTCGATACAAAAAAAATGTTCATGCCTTTTTAATTTGTCATTTATTAAAATTATTATATATTTTAACTCAAAGTACAGTTTTTAAATTTAACCCTAACCCTTGTGCGTGTTTTTTATTTTGACAGCGAATGCGCACCTGCGGACCACTTATGTGCAGCCCTGGTTATTTAGCTCGTCATATTGCAGCCACAGAAATTCTTTTGTCCATGAAACCATAAAGCTGCACTTTCTTTTTGCCTTATAGTCTGATTTGTCATAACTTTTCCGTTTTGTGGTAAGCTTTCTTTGGCTGTCACTTCTTCACCCTGACCTGTCTTATTTGGCTCAGCAGAACTGAAATATATATCCTGCTGCTTTTACACACGCACTCACATAAGCTCAGCGATTCTCTGCGCGATCAACCTCTCAATGTTTAAGCTGCGGGAGATTTCACTTGTCATGTTTGCATAGTAAGCTAACGATTAATAAGACGATGTCAGAGGAATTGGTGCACATTATCATCACTCACAGATCAGTGCTGTCGCTCTCTATACACAGTTCGCACGATTGCAAAGTGAAAGCAAAAAAACAAGCGCAAATTCAAACGCGATTTCAATATGTCACATATTGACAGTGACTCACCGATGCCAATGACATAATTACCCAGCTACATTTCCGAAAGAATGCAAAAGCATTGACATATATTTTCCTTCCTACAATAGCCCGACGGGCAGGGAAGAGATAGATTTTGGTAGCCCGACTGGAAAAATCGCTAGCTCCGGGACGTCGGGCTAGCGATATTGAAAGCCCTGTATCTGATTGAGGAATCACTCATCTTTGGAAAAGAGAGTTATTACAGAGAAATGTCTCTTTCCAAAATAAAAGCTATACTATCCGCTTCTTCTGGGCTATATTCTCAGCAGCATAAGGAGAATCCTGTGCTAACAGCTGTCTAAATGACTCGGCTAAAGTTAGTAGCATGCTTGTTGTTTTGTCTTTGCACTAGGATGATGTCGGTGTAAATGTGCAGTCATATTCGTCGGTTCCCACTAGTGCTTTCAGGTTAATCTCGTTGAAATGACCTTAACGCCACAACACGGCAAATCTCCGTTACGAGCTACCGCCGATCGCTCCGTGCATGGGGCTAGACGGCCAACACGTTAACGAGCTAACTGCGCTAACACACTAGTTCCCACCCATGTAATTGAGCATTGCATGGAACATCCAACATACTGTTTTACTTTAGTCCATGACACGCTTCCTTCAGGGTCATACGTCACATGAAACCAAAATTTCCAAACGCCAGATCTGAATGAGGGTGGGGGAGGTCCATGTTGCAAGGAGAGCTTAACTTCTGTCTCGCTAGCTTGCCCTGCGCTCTTCCTTCTGACTATTGCTGTCTGTGTTGAGCGCTCAGTGGATCTGCGTTCGACTACTCCGCCTAGAGGCTGCACTGTCGACCCTAGGCGGAGTAGTCAAACGCAGATTCACTGAGCGCTCAACACAGACAGCATCGTCAGAAGGAAGTTGATAAAATAAATTACAAATTTTGTATTGTTCGATACATATGCGTACCGAACCGAAAGCACTGTATCGAACGGTTCAATATCGATACGAATATCGTTGCCTAATACATATATATATATATATATATATATATATTATATACATATGTAACATAAAGACAAGAAAGCTCCTTACCATGCATGGGAGTTTCACCCCAAATCCAGCACCCTGAGGCTGTACGCTAAGCGGAAGGAAGGGACCGGGACTGGTGAGTGTCAGCACCACAGTCCAGGATGAGACAAGAACATCCAAGAATACATTGGGAAGATGGCCAACCTGACCGAGTGCTCAGTGAATACCTCAGGCAGCAGAAACCCAAGAAAGAGGAGGGAGACGAGGAACCATCATGGAAGGACAGGCCCCTGCACGGTATGTCCACCGGCAGATAGAGGAGGTGGCTGTATCCAGAAATCTACCAGTGGCTGGACAAAGCTGGACTGAAGACAGCACAGAGGCACTAATCATGGCAGCACAAGAACAAGCTCTGAGCACAAGATCCATAGAGGCTGGGGTCAATCACCAGGCGCCCAGGTGCAGGCTGTGTAAAGATGCCCCAGAGACAATCCAGCACATAACAGCAGGGTGCAAGATGCTAGCAGGCAAGGCATACATGGAACGCCATAACCAGTGGCCGCATAGTGTACAGGAACATCTGTGCCGAGTATAACCTGGAAGTCCGAGGTCAAAATGGGAGATGCCCCAAGGGTGGTGGGAATGACCGAGCTAAGATCCTGTGGGACTTCCAGATACAGACGGACAAAATGGTGGTGGCTACCACCGGACATAGTGGTGGTAGACAAACAGAAGAAGACGGCCGTAGTGTCGATGTAGCGGTTCGAATGACAGCAATATCAGGAGAAGGAACACGAGAAGCTGGAGGAATACCAAGGGCTCAGGAAGAGCTCGAGAGGATGTGGGGTGAAGGTAACGGTGGTCCCCGTGGTAATCGGAGCACTAGGTGCGGTGTCCCAGCTAGGCGAGTGGCTCCAGCAAGATCCCGGGAACACACATCGAGATCTTGTCCAGAAGAGCGCAGTCCTGGGAACAGCTAAGATACTGCAGGACCTCAAGCTCCCAGGCCTCTGGAGGACCCGAGCTTGAAGGATAACCGCCCGCGGGGTGCTGGGTGTTTTTATATGTATATTTGTATTATTATATATATATATACACACACACACATATAATATATACGAAGGGATAGAATAATAGGAATAAAAATAAAATACAAGTGAATGCACATTTCAAGTATTGAGTCTATTGCACCAATACTAAATACTCTAGGAACAAGTAGGCCTGCAGTGTGAGAGCGAAGCGCTCTAATAGGTGATATGGTACTACAAGGTCATTAAGAAGATGGGGCCTGTTATTTAAGACCTTGTATGTGGGCAGTGTCAGGGACCAAGCAGTAAGGTATAAGGACACAGTGTTAATTCGAAAAGGGGTTTTATTGAGGGGAGGGAGGTCTGGGCCTCTTTGCTTTGCTTAGGCTGCTGCCCCGCGACCCGGTCCCGGATAAAGCGGATGAAGATGATGGATGGATGGATGGATGGATGGGTTTTATTGACCCAAAAGTATGAAAGATATTTTTGTCAGCCTGGCTACAGAGCTGAAGAGAACCTGGGGTTGTTCTTATTTTCTTCAATCAGTGATGATAGTAAGATGTTCTGGCTTTGCGGAGGGCTTTCTTATAAGCAGCAAACTATTTCTCCAGGCTAAATGATGATCCTCTAAATTTGTGACACGCCATTTCCTCTCCAGATTACGAGTCATCTGCTTTAGGCTACGTGATGGAGAATTTACCACGGAGTCAGGTACTTCTGATTAGAGACCTTAGTTTTCACAGGAGCTACAGTATCCAGAGTCGTACGTAGTGGAGGTGAAATTATTAACAAGATAATCGACCTCTGTTGGGTAGCGTTCAGATAGCTGCTCTGCTCTATGTTGTAGGGCATTGAGATGATAACAGTGGGTGGATTATATTCTTAAACTTAGTTACAGCGCTTTCAGAAAGCATCTACTGTGATAAGTCTACTCTCCACCGCTGTGTAATCAATTATTGTAAATGTAATGTTATCAGGAAATGATCAGACAGGAGAGGGTTTTCAGGAAACACTGTTAAATGTTCAGTTTCTCTGCCATATGTTAAAACAAGATCTAGAGTGTGATTAAGTGTGTGGGTGGGTTCTTTTACATTTGAGAGAAACCAATTGAGTCTAATAACAGTTAAATGCCATGTTGAGGCTGTCATTTTTAGCATCTACATGGATGTTAAAATCACCCACAATAATTATTTTATCTGAGCTCAGAACTAAATCAGATATAAAGTCTGAGAAATCAGACAGAAACTCTGTGTAAGGCCCAGGTGGACGATTGATGATACAAGTAAGACTGGTTTCTGAGTTTTACAGCTGGGGTGGACGGGCTAAGCATCAGACTTTCAAATGAATTAAAGTCTGTCTTGAATTCTGCCGAGTACGAGAGCTTAGCATGGTCACAGGTCGAAATAATCCTCATTTGTGTTATTCTAGGCCTGCAGTCTCTCAGTTCGCCCGGCTGTCTACAAAGAGCTCTGCCCTTTAAGCTAACTCCTCTGATTGGCTGCCCCTCACCAACGAATATACTAGCAGAGACTGGGCGGGGCTTGTGTGCTCACAGTCAGCGCTGTCTGCAGTCACGCTGAGACTGGGGTGGGTTTGTGAATAACTGTGTCAATAACTGTGTTTCTGTGCATATTAACAGTTAATCGCTGAATTCATGTAACTACACAGACACATTCATCCAATCACTGACTTTGTCAGTCAATTAGAGGGGAACTGTGTCCTTATTGCTTTGACCAAAAATATGAATGCAAATGTTTGCTGAGCATGTTTACAGCTGCATTCTCCTAAATGGCCACCAGAGGGCGAGTCCTCTGGATGTAAAAGAAGAGAAGTCTATGGAAAACCAGCCACACTCGCTTTGGAGCCTCGGTAATGGCTTTCCTGTTCAAACAGTCCTATCGAATAAATGTTCTTTTGGTAATTATTGTCCCCAGTAGAGTCACAGAGCATGATGGCTATGTTTCAGGCCTATCTTGGCATTGACACGCCGCTAGCCCACA